GACCTGCATCTTTCCATCCATTTTCAGTCTTTATAAAACTTTCTTCTCTGACTTTTCTGCTTGGCTGATAAAATATGAAGAACGTTTTTCTTACTGTCTTGTGAGGCTCAATCCTTAAATGTCCCCGGAGAGCTTTTCTTCTTGGCTGCAGAATCTCAGAATTATGACACTTGGCTGTTTGTACAGCCCAGCTCCCAGTGTCTAGGCATTTGATTGCTTAAGCCAACTTGTTAGAATAGCCCCTCTATCTTTAATTGATTCCACATGATAAAATACTAACTTTGTTTCTTAATACTTTCCAATTTGACAGTGTTGCCAGAATGTCTGTGCAGTACAGTTTAATCAGAAGAAATTAGCACAGATTTAATGCGATAGTACTATGATCAAAGGCCATAACAACTGCCAAGTTTACTTCTAGGATTAAAGTTCATCACTTCACCTTTTTCCCCCCCCTTGAATGATAAGAAAAGGTGTCTTTTTGCTTGGGTATTTTTTCTATCATCATCAAGAGTTCTTTGTCACTTTGGGACTTCAGAAACTTGGAAGCATTTAATTAATGATGCACCCCATGGTGTTACTAATTAGTAAGTTTGAGAAAATACAGCCAGTGTTTAAATATTTCTTATGTAGTCAATGGTAAGAAATTGGATTAAGCAAAGAGAGGAATGCTTTGAAGGATATAGAAGATGGATTTCCAATCCTGCTTTGATTTGATTTCTTAAAGCTATTTTATTTATTTGCTTGTTTGCTTGTTTAATTTATTTATTTATAGAAAGGGGAAGGAAGGGAGAAAGAGAAGGAGAGAAAATTAATGTATGAGACAAACAGTGATCGGCTGCCTCTCACACACCCGCAGCCACAGACCTGGCCCAAAGCCCAGGCATGTGCCCCGACCGGTAATTGAACCAGTGACCATTCAGTCTGCAGGATGACACACAACCCATTGAGCTATACCAATGTGGGCTGCTTTGCTTTGATTTTGAAGACAAAATAATTATATCTTTTTTCAAAAATTACTTCCTGGTGTATAAATAAATGTATACTGTTATTAGTGAAAGTGAGAGCTAACACATAGATTAAAGTCATTAAAATCGTGAATATCTTTACCTTCCAAAGTTAAAAGAAAAACACAAAATGAATTTATTTTTTATTTTGTTTTATTACATGGACTTTAGCTGCGACGTAACCAAATGCAAAGCATAGGAAAAGGAGAAAGTAAAAAGATAAAAAGGGAAGGTTGGGTAACCCACCAATTAAAACCAGCCTCTGCTTTTATAAGAGTATTTACTGCTTGGGTAGATTGAGAAATTTCCAATGTTGAGTAACTGTGGCAGACTTAACATGAATCATTATCAGGGGGACAAACAGTTAAGCTGTTCTTTGGCCCTTCGGTGCGAGGTTCAGTATTCTGCCCAGGAGCTCCGGGGACTCGCGGCCAGCTCGGGCCTGAAAGGGAGAAATGTGACGTGAGCTCTTTCAGGCCCGGCTCCGTTGTTTTCGCCTCATTCAAACTGACCCAAAAGGCTGTCTCTTATTTCTCTTCTATTTCTTACCAACTTTATCAATAAAAATGTAACTTTTTATGTACATAAATAAATTTTAAATAAAAATTGATATGCAGACTATAGAATTTGCTGGAGAGGTTCGCTATACGTAGGTAAAACAAAGCTAGTTCATCATTAAACAACTGAGTTACATGTGCTGAACATGAATACTAAGAAAATTCAAAGGTCTTCAGTCCAGCAATTTCTTTCCTGGGGACTATCCCGTAGAAGTAAAAGCACCAGCATGCAGGACATGAGAGTACCAGGATACATGCACAAATGTGTTTGTGATAGCAGCAGAAAGCTGAAAACCGTATGAATGCTTGCCAGTGTGGAAATGGCTCACTAAGTGATGGTACATCACCCCAAGAAATACTACGTAGACATTAAGCAGAGTGAATTGAAGCTATGCCAGTTGACTTGGTGGGAGAGATTTTCATATGGTATTCTGTTGGAAAAGCAAGATACAGAAAAGAATGTATAGTATCCCATTTTTGTAAAACACTGGTGACCAAAAATTCCTAAATGCGGGTATACGATATATACATGTGTGTGACTTTATGAGTGTTGAGAGAATAGGAAAGGTTGCGTATGAGATGGCAAGCATGGGCGTGGTGCTGATGTAGGAGGAGGAAAGGGGGAGGAGTCAAACACCGAAAAGGGGGAATGTTTATTAAGAGTTCGGAGTGATGTGATTGTATTTATATACAAACACAGGTGTGTATGTAGAAGGACATGAAATAACTAACTTTAAAAAATTCAAAGAGACAAATCAGTCTGGGCTAATCAGGAAAACCTTTTGAATGAGGAGAGTCTAAAAACAAACATGTATTGCGCCTAGGATCTTGGAGCAGAACTGTTAGGAGGGAGAAGAAATTTCGGAAGGGAGACACATTGCAAGCAAGGTAGTAGGGAAAGAGCAGTGGGACTTATATAAGACATTAGAAGGAATTAATGTCAGAATAATTGGAGGAATGATAAGAAGAAAGTTGGCCAAGCCACTGAAGACCACATATTGTGTGAGTTCGTTATATGAAATCTCTGCAATGGACAAATCCACAGAGACAAAATAGGTTAGTGGTTACTGGGGTTGGGGGAGTTACATCTCAATAAAGCTGTTTTAAAAAAAAAGTTGGTTAGGTAAATTGGGGTCACCTAGTGGAGGACTTTAACATCCAGGCTTTATGGTTTGAATTTGATTTAATGGACTACAAAGAGTTACAGGTATATGAATATGGACTGGACTTTTCCTTTTTCAGTCTCTTTTTCTCCTTATTTGGGATTTTAATTATATATACTCACTTAAAAATTCAAATAATATAATAAAGCATGTTAAATAGGAAATATCAGTCTTGACTTACTGCCCATAGATTACCACTATAAAAGTTGTGATTACTTTCTAATTTTTTTTTCCTTTTTTTTTTTAACATGATGAGGATCATGTCATCCATCTAGTTCTGAAATTTTTTCATACAGCGGTCCTTCATGGCTATTTTCCATACTTGCATATGGAGACTGGCTACCACAGGGAATAACAGTAGTAACTCATAGTGTCATTGTAAAGATTAAATGAGTTGATATATGTAAATAATAGCACAAGACACGCAGTAAGCACTTGATAAGGATGAGATGTAGTTTTACTATTATTATTACTAAGTATAAGCTGAGGGATACAGGTGGTTTTTTTTTTTTAAGATTTTATTTATTTATTTTAGAGAGCTAAGGAAGGGAGGGAGAAAGAGAAGGAGTGAAACATCAATGTGTGGTTGCCTCTAGCACACCCTGTCCTGGCAATAATATGTCCTGCAACCCAGGCATGTGCCCTGACTGGGAATCAAACCAGTGATGCTTTGGTTCATAGGCCTGGGCTAGATCCAGCTTTTGTGAGTGATTATTTTAGGAGTTCTTTTGCTTTGGGAACATTAAGTGAAAGCAGGCATTATTTCCATTTCAGAAAAGAAGCGTTCATTCAGTTATCACTGGGATAGCAGCCAGGCTAGGTGACTAACAGCGCTAAAAGTAACAACTAACACATAACACCTCACAACAGAGGTTGTTATTGTCGGTTTGGGGGAGCTAAGTGTAAGGGACTCTCAGCCTCTTGAAATTGTATGTCAGCAGTTTGTACGTGCCTGTGTGCAGCTCAGTAAGCAGGATGAATACGTGGTCTTCAAAAAATTCTCCTTATGAACCACATGCTCTACCAGACTTGAGTCTCATGATAGCCCCAAGAGGTAGAGAATGCCACAGGGTTTTTAGTGGGCACCAAGGTGGCCCTGACCCATAGGAGGTTATGTATATCCAGCACACTGTTAATGCAGGTAGAGCATGAAAAGTCCCATTAGAAAGTCATCATTATTATGCCCTGAGAATTCAGAAGTTTATTGTAGCTCTTGATTCGGGGAAAGCTTTTTGGCCTTTAATCCATTATGTTAAAAAGTGTATATCATTTAACAAATGTTTATCAAATGCCCACTATATTCCACCTGTTATTCTAGCTGTTGGGAATATAACATCGATAGGCAAGAATCTATGTCCTCGTGAAGCTTGCATTCTTTTGGGGAAGTCATACCCAGACAATGTGACCCTTCTCCTCACCATTTTACTTTTTTTAAAAGATTGTATTTATGTTTAGAGAGAGGGGAAGGAAGGGGAAAAGAGAGGGAGAGAAACATCAATGTGTGGTTGCATCTCACACACCCCCAGCTGGGGACCTGGCCTGCAACCCAGGCATGTGCCCTGACTGGGAATTGAACTAGCGTCCCTTTGGTTCACAGGCCAGCACTTAGTCCACTGAGCCCCAGCAGCCAGGTCTCCTCACCTTTTATACTGAAACTTCAGGACACCTTTGATTAAATGCTTCATCTTATATATTGACACTTCAGGGCAGCGTTGATTATATGCCCAAAAATGCCTTCCACATAGTAATGCTAATAAGTATTTGATTAAGTAAGAGAATGAACCAAAGAGGTGGAAGAGATCTAAAGGCATCAGGATCTGTTTTTAGGCAGAACCACGTTTAACTATCTTTTTTCTTTTTCTTCAAGTTTTTACAATGGAGTAGAAACTTTATTTTATTTTTTAAAGATTTTATTTATTTATTTATTGTTAAAGGAAAATGGAAGGAGGAAGAGAGAGAGAGAAATATTGATTAGTTGCCTCTCGCACTCCCCCAACCGGGGACCTGGCCCACAAACCAGACGCGTGCCCTGACTGGGAATCGAGCCAGCAGCCTTTCAACTGGCTCACAGGCCAGTGCTCAATCGGCCGAGCCACACCAGCCAGGGCTGCAGTAGGAATTTTAAACCTGGGTATCTCCATCGTTCTCCATGTGCAGTGAGGAGATTTAACATATATTGAAGAAATAAAGTTTGGTGTCTCCATCTAACATCAAGCTACCTTAAGCACTTTGGCGCTATAAAAATGCGAAGCATCACTGTTGTTTGTCATTTCTAGGGGAAGTGACTCCGGGACTATCGCAAGTGGAATATGCACTTCGCAGACACAAATTAATGTCTCTGATCCACAAGGAGGCGCAGGGGCAGAGCGGGACAGACCAGACGGTGGTTCTGCTATCCAACCCTACATACTATATGAGCAATGATATCCCCTACACTTTCCACCAAGACAACAACTTCCTGTACCTTTGTGGATTCCAAGAGCCTGACAGCATTCTGGTCCTTCAGAGCCTCCCTGGCAAGCAGTTACCAGCACACAAGGCCATGCTTTTCGTGCCTCGGAGAGACCCCAGCCGAGAACTTTGGGATGGCCCACGGTCTGGCACTGATGGAGCGATAGCTCTAACTGGCGTGGACGAAGCCTATACGCTGGAAGAATTTCAGCATCTAGTACCAAAACTGAAAGGTAACAGACGGGAGCAGAAGTCAAATGGTGGGCCCGGTTGGGGTTAAGACTTTCCTTGCCTGTTTAGACAGAGTTCTTCATGTTCTAAAATGATTATCCATAGCGGTGTTTTCCTTAAGCACCAAGAAAGGAGCATAAAATATTTTCCACAAGACTGGACTACTTTAAGGACTTCATTTATTCATTTGCTAAATCTTACTAGATTATTCATTCGCATAGACTGTTAGAATGTCCTTAAACAGTTAAGGACGGGCATAGGCCACCCTTCGGGATTGCTGACCGGTCTGTTGACTCTCTTCTAGCTGCTTTTGCCCACTCTTCGAAAGGAGGCGGTGTTCTCAAAGAATGATCCCTGCGTCACCAGCATCAGAATGACCTGGTGATGCATGTTAAAATTGTAAATGTGTAGTAGATACGGGAAATGTAAAATCTTAGGCCCCCACTCCATGCTGACCAAATCGGAATCTGCATTTTAACGAGATTCTTAGGTGATTCGTATACACAGTTCATACCCTTCCAAACAGTCACTTTCTCTACCTTCATTCTAGGGAAAAGTGTCAAAAAGCCACTTACACCCAAGTGTGTGAAATAATATAGATGATGAAGTTGGGAAATACTTATTTTAAACAAAATGTTGGATTGTAAATGTTTAGTGTTTCTTGTGTGGTTTATAAACTATTTCTGATGTCACTTTCTAAAACAGAATTTCAAAATTGTTTCCAACAATCATGGAATTTACTGTACTTGTTTCCTACAAAGATTCCTTGAGAGAAAATATTTACTTGAATATGCACGGTTAATATGTTTGAATTCTTTTTATTTGTAAACTGTTGTCTATTTTACAGATTTAATTACCCAGCTGAGCTAGTGGAACTTTCTTCCTCTTCAAAGTCTTCATCAGTGTGGGGCACAGAATCGTTTTCTTTGTAGCTCATGATTTCTTGAATTAATTGCAGGCTGTCATGTTCCAAATTACTTTGTATAAAATGTACAACCCTGTAGACTTCAATTATTGGGATTGCTGTTCATTGGCTACTGTCAGTGAAAAAAAACGAAAGGGAAGGGAGACTTGGTGTAAGTGGGAATTATTTTCACCATGATCCCACTTATTTTATCTCAGGCCAATGTAGGCCATTTCCTTGAGTCTCTATAATTAAAAAGTAAGCTGTGCTTGTCTGTAATGAGAATACATAGCAAATAGGAAAGGATTTCCTCAATAAGAGTGGATTAACACCTATTATCTACTGTAGTGTTTCCATAGCCATAAATAATTGCTCCAAAAGAACTTCCTTTCATCGATACTGAGATTGTTGGTAAAGGGGTGAAATGCTTTTAACCACAAGGTAATGATCTGAGCACATTTTTCTGTCCTTTGTGTTCAATTATTCAACAGTGCCCCCAGCTCAATGGTGGTGTGGAGAACAATTGCAATTGTTCTGTTAATGAATAATAAATACATAAAATCAAAGCTTAAATAAAAGCTTAGTTCCCTCTAGGTAGTTCCAATCCCTGTCTTTAGGAACACTGAAGTTCGGGGATAGAAAAGCTGTCTGTTCAGTCTCAAAATATCTTGCCGTTTTCAGGGAATGGCCTTTCCAATGATTTATGATCAAACCCTTCAATTACTTGAGTCCTGAGAGAGTCTGTGCTCAACTCCCTGGAGTTTCACACTACAAGTTTTATAGTTTTGACTCTTATTTAAGTCATGATGGCAGTTGGTATTTGTTGGTGCTGTTAGTTTTATTTTGAATTTGCTTTTTCGGATCTCATTTTAAGCCGAGACAAACACACTTTGGTATGACTGGATGCGGCCCGCCCACGCACAGCTTCACTCGGACTATATGCAGCTTGTGACTGAGGTCAAAACCAGGAGCAAGAACCGAGTTCGCACTGTCCAGCAGCTGGTACAGCGCCTCCGCCTGGTCAAATCTCCTGCTGAGATTGAACGGATGCAGATTGCTGGGAAGCTCACATCACAGGTGGGTTCCTACTGAAAAAGCTGTTTTCAAATTAAAAAAAACCTAAGCTCGTAGGGTTCAGTGGGCACCTTGAGGTTGTGTACTTACTGCAGTCATTTCCTGGCTGGTGGACATCTAGCTTCTACTCTGACATTTAGTGAACACGTATAGACACGTGCTCAGCACCTTGCAAGGCAGAGTAAGTCTGCCTCCTTATGTCTTTCACCCATGGTCTTAGTTGTTTCTCCTTGGAACAATGCAAATTAATTTTTGATTTCCTTGCAATAACTATAATAATACTAGTAGCAGTAAAACAGTTTGATAAAGAAGAATCATAGGGCCCAAAGTGACAATGCTTGCAAGTCTACAATTCCGGGGAAAGGGTACACTATGGCAACAACATTAACTAGCATGAACGCAAGAATACCTGTCACCCAGTGGCCGTCTCACAGCCAGGGGCCAGAGAAGCCGGTGCAGGCTTCTCTCGTACTCCCTCAGTAAGAGCTGCATTTTCTCTCCTGAATCAGGAGCCACAGGTGCGTACATGGAACACCTAGAAACCAGGGAGTCCAAAATCGAATCTCAACTAGAGGTTTTTCTCGTTTTGGTTATATTGGCAGGTGCCTGCTCTGTAACAAAGACCTTCGGAGTTCTTGTGGAAACCAAGTACAGACCAGTGCTGACAAACTGATACAAACTGCTTTGAAACTCCCACTAGCACTCTTTCTCCATCAGTGTCTTTCAGGCCTTGACCAGGAGCAGTTGCATACAGGAACTGTAACAAAACAGTTCAGGCTAATTCCAGGCCTGCTGAATCAACCTCATAGAACAATAGCACACATGCACTTGAAGCCCACTTTTCTGGGTTCTACCTATCGTCTTCCCAAAGTTAAACACTGTTTTCCTTAACTGTTCCCTCTTTTGTAACCCTCCTCGGTATGTGCTCTGGTTTGTCAGGGTCTTTCTCCAGGTACACTGTCCAGGGTTCTGGCTACAGCCAGACCAGCAAGGACTACTTACAACTAATTACAGATGTGATAAACATATGTCTTTGTTTTTCTTCAAATCACTGATCTTTAAAATAAGGAAGAGAAGAAGCTAAGAATAGATCTGTGGGATAATGTTCAGGGCTCCAGAGAAGTGATCAGCGCAGTGATCAGATGTCTCTGCATGCAGTGTAAAATCAGGTACAAATCTGCCCAGGCATGTCCGATCCACACTTCTGTCACTTGCCCACACTGTAATCCCGAGAGACTATTTTAAGTGTTGTGCCAAAATTCAGAAGCTGAGCTATCGTTCCCTTTACGTACCAACCCAGTAAAGACGTCAGACAGGGAGATGGAGTTTGCGTTACTTTTTTTTAATGAACAACTTCTGCCAGTGACCGTTCTTTAAGTATTCCCAGCCTGGTCTGGGATTATGCTGTAAGATTTTGAGGGACTTGTGGTCTAGATGGCGGCATAGGTAAACACAGGTCACCTCCTTGCCCAACCACACCAAAATGACAACTGAATTATAGAACAGCCGTCACTGAGAACTGGCAGAAATCAAGTTGAACGGAAATCTGACAACTACGGGATTAGAGAAACCACATCCACCCAGACTGGTAGAAGGGACGTGGATGACGGAACCAGATGGTCCCACACCCACGTGTGGTGGATAATAATTCGGGAGGGATGGCTCAGGTGCAAGGAGTGCCAGCCCCACACCAAGCCTGCCAGCCCAAGTTACCAATGCCAGGAAGATGATTCCCCTTAGCTTCTGGCTGCAAAACCCAGCAGGGATTGAGCCGTTGGAAGAAACTTCTAGAGTCCCAAGCAGTTCCTCTTAAAGGACCCACACATGGACTCACCTACTCAGACTCTGTCCTCCGAGCTCTGGAGCCAGGGTAGCAGTTTGAAAGACACCAGTGGCATATAGGGAGGAACTGAAGTGGCTGGCTTCAAGGCAAGAGCTGGAGGACAGCTTTCTCCCAGACGGAAAGGCGGGCAGAGCCACAGGGCAAGCAGGTGCCATATGTGAGACTCCATCAACCTCGCTAACACTCTTTGCCCCACCCTGGAGATCCCCTGAGGCTCCATCCCACCGATTTACCGCTCGTAACAGTAGCTTTTCCGTATGAATGGCTGGTCTTGGCTCCTGCTTCAGAACTTCCTAAATCTTCTCAAACAAGGAACATCTGGCCTCAGTGAGCCCCCAGCCTCTGTAGCTCTTGCTAAGGGGCCCCAGGCCCAGCACTAGCAGCAGCCAGCCTAGATGCACAACTTGGCTTTTCCTGGGAATCTCCACACCCAGCACAAGTAGCAGCCACCTCAGATTGCTTTATAGCACAGGCAGGGTGGCCCTGAGCAAAACAGGTGAGGGCTGACCTTGGCCTCCACCACCCGGGAACCCCCAGGGCCTGCACAACCAGTGGACAGCTACAGACCTTGCTGGAGCACCATCACCCTGGCCCTGCACAGCTTGTCCTCCATGGAAGGTAGAGGTTGGTGGTCAGTGGTCACAGCCAATCCTTCAACCGACTGGCCTGGAAAATCCTTCCCATTGACCTGTCAACAGCAACCAAAGCTCAACGACAAGAGAAGGGTGTACTCAGCCCACACAAGGGGCACACCTCAAGTACCCAGCTTGGGTGATAGGCGCTGTGCCACTAGACCCTACAGGACACCTACTACATTAGACCATAATACCAACACAGAGTTATAGCAGCTCTACCTAATCCATAGAAGCAAACACAGGGAGGCTGCCAAAACAAGGAGACAAAGAAACACGGCCCATGTGAAAGAACAGATCAAAACTCCATAAAAAGAACTAAACAAAGTGGAGATAAGCAATGTATCAGATGCAGCGTTCAAAACACTTGTTACAAGGATGCTCAAGGAACTTAGTGTGGACCTCAACAGCATAAGAAAGATCTGGTCAGAAACAAAGAAACATCCCTTCTTTTGGGCTATAAGCCAATATAATTTATGCCTATGTGATAACTGAAAAGTTAGATTTTCTTGCAGTCTAATTTGTTTTAAAATAAGTAAGGGGCCTTGCCATTAGAGTTCAGTAACCTTTACAGAACGGAGAGTTGGTACCATTTATGGGAGAAGCAAAACTGGGATGAGGTGAACGTACATCCTGCCTCCTGCACGTCTCTCCCTGAATCTCCTGTAAATACCTAAATGTGTGCTCTGCCAGCTGTACCAAACCTGACTCTTGGATTCTTTTTCATGGTTAATAATATGAAACTTATCTATATAATAGTTCTCCCCAACCCTTATTCTAATTAACTAGTCCTCAAGTTCACCCCCAAGGAGGCACAATAGTGTAGTGGGAAACAGAGACACCTGGGTTTAAAGACCAAGATGTGTTATTTTGACCTGTGCCTCGTGCACAGTGGGACACCTGGTAACGCTTTGCTGTCCGTCTGCTTGCCTCTCTTAGTGCCTACTTCTAACTCTGCCCCGGCCAGAGTGATCTTTATAAATCAGACTGTTCCTCTCCTACTTAAAGTCCTTCAGTGCCTCGCTGTTGTTTTTAGGGTTCAAATTTCAACGTGCCCACGCAGGGCCATTGGTGGCCTGGCCCCCTCTGCCTTCCCTTCCAGCTTTATGGCTCATTCTTCCACACGTGCTTGACACTCTCGCCATGCCGAACATTCTCGAATGTCACAGTGTCCCTACTTTCACATCACCCACACGTGGACGCACAGCCAACACCTTCATGAAATGAGCCACACTAGCCAGGGCTTTTTTTTTTTCTCTTTCATTTTAGCTTCATACTAAATGTATAGTGCTAACTAGTTATTTATCAACATTTGTGTGTGTTGATAACTACTTTAACTGATTTTAATTGCTAATTCATTCAGCAAATTTTTTTAAATATTTTATTTATTTATTTTTTAGACAGAGGGGAAGGGAGGGAGGAAGAGATGGAGAGAAACATCAGAGTTGGGTTGCCTCTTGCACACCCCACACCGGGGAACCTGCCTAACAACGTAGGCATGTACCCCAACCAAGAATTGAACCGATGACCCTTTGGTTTGGAGCCCAGCACTCAGTCCACCGAGCCACACCAGCTGGGGCTCATTCAGCAAATACTTATAGTAAGGTAGCTAGCTACTGTGGTACCAGGTACTGCTCTAGGTTTTGAGAATATACAGTGGTGAGCAAAATGGATAATCCGTGTGTCCCTGTCCTTACATTCTAGTTGAGGCAAGACAGGAAACAAACACACGATAAATAGTCAGCTGGAGTGAAATGCTGTGAAGTAAAATGAAGCAACAGAGGGGGAGAGCACGATGGAAAGTGCTCATTTAGATAGGGGCTTCTAGAAGGACAAAACACGGGGGGGAGGTCAGAATGAGAAAAGGGGGCAAGCCATGCAGATACTCCCACGGCCATCCCACTCGCTTTCCCTGGCGGGCTCGACGGTGTCGTCGTTTCCTTGTATGTTGAAAAGTGTTACTCAAACGTTCCTTCCCACGTTGCATTCACTTGGAGTCTAACAACTCGAGAGAAATTCCTTTCTACTTGCAGTGGCATATAGCTATGTCCCTGTGCAGCTGATTTGTTTTGTCCCACAGACATTGGAAATTATACAACTGACGGAGTTTTTCTCTTTACGTTGGCTGCTAGAAAACTCCGAGGTAAATCTGTGGCCCATCTGTGGTAGCCATAGTGATAACAGTGTGCATTGTTTTTTAGGGTTTTTTTGTTTGTTTGTTTTTTGTTTTTTGTTTTTTGTTTTGAGCTTCATCCCACTAAGCCTTGCCTTTCTTTAACTCTACCCAGAATTTATGCTGTTTTGTATTTTATGTATTCATGTAAGCTTATCAAAATCCTACGTGGGCCCTGACTGGTGTGACTCGGTTGGTTGAGCATCGTCCCACAAAGTGAAAGGTCGCTGGTTCAATTCCTGGTCAGGGCACATGTTTGAGTTATGGGCTCACTCCCGGTTGGGGCATGTGTGAGGGGCAACCAGTTGATGTTTCTCTCCCTCTCTTTCTCCCTGCCTTCCCCTCTCTCTCTGAAAATTAATAATAACTCTTTCCCAAAAATCCCTGCTTGGAATAAGGTACCACAGTGAGTTATAAGCAAGTATGTTTATAAAAATAGAAAAACACAACAAAGATGTAGTGTAGCTATCGCAAAGAACTAATTGCCAAGGGACATTTGGCAATAATTGATTATCACTGGGAAGTGCTACCGGTATCTGCATTGAATAGGACAGCCTCTGCAGCCAAGAATTATCTAACCCAAAATGTCGATAGTGCTGAGGTTGGGAAACCCTACTGTAGACTGGACTTTTCAGCCCATAATCTCATTCATTCCCGGGCCACAGAAGCATTTGGTTCCATAAATGACAAGTGTGTTTCCTTGTAGCTTATTCTGGCGGACAGGATATATTCTAACTGGGAAGGTTGGGTGCCCTCCCCCTAAACCTGCGATCAGTCAAATATTTCTGAATGCAGTATTTTCCCCTTCAGAAGTTTATGTTGTCGTGCCCACAGAGTCACGGCTTCAGGTTCACAAAATTGGGGGAAGGGTGCTTTTCACTTGAATTCCAGTATTTTAAATACTTGAATAAGCAAAATAGTTAAAGTAAGATTTTTTTTCATCCTCCATTCCCTTCACAGGCTTTCATAGAGACCATGTTCGCCAGCAAAGCCCCTGTGGAGGAGAGCTTTCTTTACGCTAAGGTGAGCTTTAAACTATTAGAAAGCTTTTCGGGGGGGGGGGGGGCAAATGTACAATAATTTCATTGGTCTGCAGATGGCATCTGTTTGGCTTCCATGGAAGTGACCAGGATATCAGTGGAGAGCATTTCATTCCTAAGTGGCACTGGTGATTTATTAGATGAGTCTGAAGTGTGCGGAGCTACAGTAAAGGAAGAGGATTTCAGAGGAGAACCCCTGAGGAAGGAAAGGCTCACACAAACGTGTGATGTGAACACTGTTTAAGTCCATGTGAAGGCAGAGAGTGGGAGGTCAGGCTGGACGTAGTCGCAGGTGGTTGTCGGTCTTGAGCTCCGTCCTAGGACATAGCGAAATGCATAGAATTTCCCATTTACCTGCCGTCTGTTTGAAATTTTCCAGAGCTTGAAGGTTAATAGCCACTTGAAAGGTTGATGTGAGTCACTTAGAGCTGTTGTTAAAATGCAAGCTGTATTCCAGTGTTCAGGAATAAACAAACTGTAATGTAACATGACTGTATCACTTTACTCAGCCTTGATCGCAGGTTTTCTGGGTCCTCTTCTGGACTTAATTTGAAAAATCACAGGAAAGTTAGAGTACTCAGAAGAACAGAACAGATTTGATAATAGGGTTGAGTAACAGGATCGGGATAAGAATAAGAAGGGGCCTGAAATTACAGCGTAAGAAGTGTTGTTAGATGGGATGGGAAGTTTCCCAGTGATGACCTCAGGGAACAGGATGTACAGGGAGGCGTGGGCTGCTGAGGAGAGCCTTGGCTGGGACGGCCCTAAGGGAATCCTTTCTTCAGTCACACTTTGCTGCTGTTTTTCAGTTTGAATTTGAATGCCGGGCCCGGGGAGCAGACATCTTAGCCTACCCACCTGTGGTTGCTGGAGGTAATCGGTCCAACACTTTGCACTATGTCAAGAACAATCAGCTCATCAAGGTACGCGGATGCCCATCGGCACTGCTTCCTCTGGGTCCAGGCGCCCTAGCAGAAAACTCGCTGTCCTCGGGACCCCCCCGCCTGCAGCCTGCACAAAATAACTGCCCTTTATATCAAGTACTTCATGATTTATGAAGTGCTTTTCCACACATTGTCTCGTTTGATCCTCACACGGCCCTGTGAGATAGGAGCAGTTACTGACATGCCACTTAATAGGTGAGGAAAATGAACTTAAAAAAAAATTAGGTAACGTGGTAGTGCAGAGGCAAGTATTCTACCCTAGAGCCTCGGCTCACTTTCTTTTATAACACCCCTTCTCTAAGGGCTGGTAGCTACAGTGGGCCAAGCACGTGGGAGCAGGCAGCTTTAAGAATATATTATTAGCGCCCCAGCTGGTGTGGCTCAGTGGGTTGAGTGCCGACCTATGAACCAAAAGGTCACTGGTTCAGCCCGCAGCATATGCCTGCTGGTGGGGGCATGTGCCTGGGTTCCAGGCCCGGTGGCCCTGTTGGGGGTTGGGGGTGGGGGTGTGTGAGAGGCAACTGATTGCAGGTTGCATCAGTGTTTCTCTCCCTCTCTCTAAAATAAATACATTTTTTTAAAAAAGAATACTTTATTGGCTATGAAAGAATTTATCTTTTATGGTTCTCTCCATATGACTATACAAGTAATGAATTGTGTGTTCCTCTAAATCCACTTTTAATTATTTTAATATTCAGTAAATTCAAAATATCAATATAGCAAACAAATTATACGGGGTGTTATTTAAATGAATACCCATGAACCACTCAGGCTACTCAAGAGTCAGACCATTACCAATGCCTTGATCTCTGGGGCACCCTTCCTTCTGCCTCGCTCCCCAGGCGCTCACCGGTGGCCCGCATCTTTCAGTTTGTCATTCCCCTGATTTTTTCTTAATACTTCTATCACATACGGTATGCTTGCTTATGAGATATATAAACATATATGTAGTTTTCGGGTACTTTTGTTTTACTCGTTAACTGTGATAATATTAGTTGTTTTCTAACAGAAAATGTATCATTTTGCCAGAAACAAAAATCACATCTATTCCTCAAAGTTACTGTTCCTATAGACGCACTATTGGATCATTACTCTGGTGTGCCAAGTTCTGTGCGTATTTAGAGATAAATAAGGTATGGCTTGTTTCAAGGGCACAAGTAGGTCATTTTATTGCAACATGACAAGTAGCAAGATAGAGATATACCCAAAGTTTTCTTCTTCCCCCACTTGCGTTTTGACAGGGAGCAGAAAGGGAAGTGATATCCTAAAGTTAAATGGTTAAGAGTAATTGTATATGAGTAAGTCCCTAGGTAAAATCCTTACCTAGGATTTTGTTAATTAAAGGTGATAGTGGTAATGGTGACATTTATGATGGGCTGATGTTTACACCTAGAAATTCACACCCAGGTATCCTGGTCCAGAGCCAGTGCACTTACCACTACACAGTGGCCCCTTTCTTAAGCCACTGAATTCATTTGAAAAATTTAGATGCCGTTTCTTGTGAGAAGGAACCAGAGACAATTAGTCTTCTTTAAATTAGAGCTTTTTAAATTGATGTAGCATGACAGGCACAAGGAGTTTAAATTCAAAGAAGGAACAGCCGACGATCCAGGGGGCACCTGCTCTGACCCGTCTTACTTTCGTTCCAGGACGGGGAGATGGTGCTGCTGGATGGAGGGTGCGAGTCTTCCTGCTATGTGAGTGACATCACCCGTACCTGGCCTGTCAATGGCAAGTAAGGCTTCTGCAGATCCCACTGCTTCTTGGACTATGGTTATGTTTAGGAGAAATGGCTAAAAAAATAGACGGTCCTCTCTAGCTCGGGTTAACTGCCTTTGCAAAGCTCCTGATTATTGGCTAAGACTGTTTCATTCATCATATCACAGAATTGGGCACCTGGAAACACCTAATTAACATCCACACACACACATATGTATACGTGTGTGTGTGTAAGTTGGTAAGTAGATTGATAATAATTGATTCATTTAAGGAATTGACTCACACATTTGCAGGGCAGGCTAGAAACTTGAAGCAACTGTTGATGTTGCAATCTTGAGGCAGAACTCACTCTCCAGTATAGCAAGGCAGTTCTAGCATTTGAACTCATTTAGTATAGGATACGTTTTGGCCCACGTTTCAGCCAACCAAGCAAATAACCTATTAGAGCCTTTCTGACCCCGTAAGCTGTAACAGTGACTCCAGAATACCTGCTTAGTGGACTCATATCGATAAATTCAGCCTGACCCACCTTTATGTTCCTCCCGCCGTTATCCCACACGTCGCTGTCCTTTCCCACACGTTCTAGAATTTTTGTCTGGATAAATAGGAAAAATTACGTAGTTCTTTTTGGTTATTGGGTCACACTGGATACCTAGCCTTCCAGGACCTGCTAGGTGGGAGTACAGTGTAGTTAAAGGTGCAGAAGCAAGTACCAAGGCAACTGCCCGTGGGCTCTCGGCCGGAACAAGGTTCATCTCAGACGGTGGTAGAAGGACCGCTTCTACCAGCAGAGATGCCTCAGCAGAATTTAGGGGCTCGGTGTCCCCAGCTTCATCAGAGTCGGTCAGAATTGCGCAGCTCAGATTTGTGCGTTCCAGTGCATGTAAATTTCACATTTAAAAAACTTCTGAAATATTTAGTGGTACTGTGGTGGCATGGAGTGTGGATACAAACATAACAATGTCGATAGTGCAGCCTGAGAGCTGGGTGTGTAGGTGTTCATGGTACCATTTTATTGTTATATTTAAATATTTCTCTATTAGGAACATTTACATAATATCTATAATTATAAAACACATCACAGTGACCATTTTTGTACATTCAGCTTTTTTTGAATTTCAGATTTTTTTTTTTAGGATGGTTACTTACAACAGAATTACAGGCTTAGTTTATATGAGCATCTTTGAAGACCTTTGATTTAATTGGCTGTACTAATTTACACTCCTAGCAACAGTACACAAAAATACATATCACATACCACCCCACTGTGGTTATTTTATCATTTTTCCCCATGATTACTAAAGACATTATTATTCTGAAGACACCTATGAGTTACTAGTTACCAGAGTATTGACTGGTTTATCCCATGACACATTTTGCTCATAAGGAGTGGATCCCTAAGCTGCTTTTTTTTTTTTTTTATGATAAAAATTGGAAAGGATCACGAGTGACCTGGTACGGCCCTCTGACAGCATTCACAACTGGGTGCACCTTCTGGCTCAGCTCGTGTGTGTCTGCTGAATGGGGGACTGTTTGTGCTGCGGTGTGAAGGGTTATTGCGCTTCCTGTCGAACATCTAGGCTGTGATTAAGGTCCTGTCAGTAATGATATGTTGGTACTAATTAAACACCCACAGTGCCCCATCATCATCACCTTGGAGTTTTTCTCACCAAACGTACAAGTAAATATTAAGCAAAACATAATTCCACAGCTGAAAGGTTTTTGGTTTTGTGTTAAAGAAAGGATTTATTGGGGCCATCCTCTAGCCAGCAAAGGACCAGGTCGTGGGACATGCCGTCCAAACCACCAGCAGCAGGGCCTGGGGGGACGCAACGTGTGCGCTGTCCTGGAGTTGATGGGCACTTTTATGCTTTGTGTTTAGGGAAAGAAAGGTGGTAAGTTGTTTTGAAAGAACTAACATTGGCTACAGTTTAAGGAGAGGTGGTGAAGGCAGCACAGTTCTAGGAGCTCAGTCCAGAGGAAGAAATATTTATTACTTTTTTTAAAGATTTTATTTATTTATTTTTAGAGAGAGAAAGAGAGGAAGAGAAACATTGATGTGTAAGAGAAACATCAGTTGGCTGCCTCTTGCAGGCTCCCAACCAGGGACCTGGCCTGCCACCCAGGCATGTGCCCTGACTGGGAATCAAACCGGTGACCTCTCATTTCACAGGATGGCGCTCAACCCACTGAGCCACACCAGCCAGGGCGAAATATTTACTGGTTTTGATTGGTTACAGGTAACAGTCCTGAAAGTTCATGTACAACATGCTGGACGTGGTAGTGGCTGGTGCTTGGCTCATAGATGCCTGGAAGTTGACTCACAGCTCCAACATACATTCAGATATGAGCAGTCTTTTGTTCGTTGGCACAAAGCAATTAACTGGTTTTCTATTCCTGTCTCTTCCTCTCACTCTCCATAATTTGATTTGTAACATATCAGAATTTTTCTCTTGTCACAAACTCCCTGCATTATCAGTTAATTCAAGTTCTTTGGTTTTCCTGTCCCCAGGTTTACAGCACCACAGGCAGAACTTTACGAAGCTGTTCTAGAGATCCAGAGAGATTGTCTGACCCTCTGCTCCCCTGGAACAAGCTTGGAGAACATCTACAGCATGATGCTGACCCTGATGGGACAGAAGCTGAAAGAGTTGGGGATCATAAAGAACGTTAAGGAAAATAATGCCTTCAAGGTACCTCACTTCTTTTGGCTTCACTTCTCAAAAACACCTTGCATGCTGCTCGGTTTTTATGGAAAGCTAATCAGATTTAGAAATGGCCTTGGTGATCTCCATCTGTAAAAGGAACTTGGATTGAACGTGCATTACAACAAAGCGAGTCAGTACTTATTCCTCCCAGAAGGTGGCAGCACATTCTGCTTCATTGCATACTGTGTAACTAGCTCAGTCATCAGAGGACAGAAAATGAAGTCTAGCGCAAACGTGGAAAGGACACAAAAAGGAAGAGAGATTAACTCTTAATTCTTTTGTGGTGATTTTGAAAAGGTAGCGGTTGGAGGGGATGGTGTTTGTTGCTTCAGTGACATTGTTGAGACTTTAATAGTATCCTCAAGGGCATGTCTTTAGTGAATTTCATCTGTGTCCAAAATGTAATGGTGTTCCATGAAAATGTAAAGCCTCAGCTTTAAATTAAAATGTAGGATGGTCAGTCCAGACAGACCATTAAGGTGTTTCCTATTTCCACAGTTAGGGTGCCAGGGGTTTTTTATCAATAGGAAAGAAACTATGAATCCCTCTTGTGCAGGCCAGCAAATCTTTAACAGATAGAACTATCCGGGCCAATAAAGGCCTGATAATTACTGTGTTATCTGCTGTTTCATCCTGTTCCACAAGATGGTAAGAGATACTTAGGGTCCCCAGAGTAGACTTTCTAAGAGGGGTGTGTGAACATTGAAATTAGAACTATTCTAGCACAGTCATTCTCCCGTTCCCTGAGAAAAGAGATTTCCATTTGCCATTGTTGCTACCGGGGTTACCCAAGTCCGCATGCGTGTATATGTTGATAGTGGGAGTGAAAATGTGTGTTAGTTCATCTGCACCGGCAGGATTTCATACAAGAGGTGGCAGTTGATCAGGCCTCTTAAGCAGGAGCCCAAGGACGGGTTCCATGAAAGCAACAGAACTGTGGGGAAGGTATTAACGTGTATCTCACTGATCCATACATGCCCAACTCTCCCCTTAAGGGGTCACGGCTCTCATAACACTGTGGCAATTATCTTTCCCAGGCTGCTCGAAAATACTGCCCTCACCATGTCGGCCATTACCTCGGGATGGATGTCCACGACACTCCAGACATGCCCCGCTCCCTCCCTCTGCAGCCCGGCATGGTGATCACAGTGGAGCCAGGTAAAGGGGTGGGTAGCAGCTCCTGACCCCTTGGGACAGGTGCTGGCAGTGTCAGATAAAAAGGAAAACATCATTTATTCTCACCTAAACTAACATAATTAAATTAGGAGTGGGGGCAGGGAACGACTCCGTGTAGAAGGGAACTTTATTTTAGATTTTTCTTGAGCTTTCTTATTTAACATCACACAGTTAGTTTAATTTGACTTCTCCAGCAAACACTACAAGGGGACAACTCTCTATAAGAAGATATGAAGAAATAAATCTTGCCCTGGGTGGTGTGGCTCAGTGGATTGAGTGCTGGCCTGCCAACCGAGGGGTCACTGGTTCGATTCCCAGTCAGGGCACATGCCTGGGTTGCGGACCGGGTTCCCCAGTGTGGGGCACACTGGAGGCAACCACACATTGATGTTTCTCCCTCCCTCACCTCTGTCCAAAAATGAATGGATAAAATCTTTAACAGCCATGCCTTTGCCAGGGCCAGTTGGTGCTGGTTTCTGGGCAGTAGCGGCGGGCCGCTCATACTGCTGAAGCTCCCGGTGCTTCTCCTGCAGAAAGACCCTCAGGCTCACCGTGTTCTTGGCTGCGCCTGCTCTGCAAACTGCACTGAGCTGCCCACAGTACCCTACTTCCTAGTATCCGTATTCTTCCTGCTGAGCTTCAGAGAAAGCTGGCAGTTTCGTGGTTCCTGGTTTGCATGATGCTACGCGTTGGGCACATTTCAAGAGAGGTGCGGTAGCCATGACAAAGTGTGAAGAGTGATATTACAAGAGTCAGTTTTTAAATACTGATGCTGTTTTTGTTGTGAAAACAGATTTTATTCTTAGGTTTCAAGTGTTTCCATCTCTAAAGTATGTAATTATAGTTGGGCATGGCTTTTTTATTCATTCTGGAATGTGAACCTCTTTAATTAAGGTATACTTGATATACAGTGTTATATTAAAGGTGTATAACAGTGAGATTTCACATTTATGCACCTCACAAAGTGATCACCAAAAAAAGTCCCTTATCCATCCGTCACCAAAGTCATTGTGGTGTTATTGAACTGTATTCCCTGTGCTGTACTTGACCCCCTCTCTGACTTACATGATAACTCTAACTTTGTACCTCTGTTCCCCTTATTTCCCTTCACTTTTTCTCCTACACCCCGCTGCTCAACCCTCTGGCAACCATCAGTTTTTCTGAATCTGAGTCTGTTTTGTTTGTTCGTTTGTTTCATTTTTTAGATTTAACATATGTGTGAAATGATACAATATTTGTCTTTCTATGACTGACTTCACTTAGCACAATACCTTCTATGGTCTATCCATGTTGTCACAAATGGCAAGATTTCATTCTTTTTCATGTCTGAGTAATGTGTAAATACACATTCAATTTTCCTTTATCCATTTATGGACACTTCTTGTGTCCATATCTTGGCTACTGTAAATAATGCTGCAGTGAACTTAGGGGCGCACATATCTTTTCAAATACTGAATTAGTGGGGTTTTTTCCTTCAGATAAGCACCCAGAAATGGAATTGGCGGGTCCTTCTTTGTCTCAAGTTATAGCCTGTGTTTTAAAGTCTGTTTTGTCTGATACGAGTATTGCTATCCCAGCTTCTTGTTTTGTTTTGTTTCCATTTCCATGAAATATCTCTTCCATCCCTTTACTTTCAGTTCATGTGTGTCTTTCAGTCCGGAGTCTCATGTAGGCAGCATATGCAAGGGTCTTGTTTTTCTGTCCATTCAGTCACCTTTGTTTTTCAATGGAGCACTTAGTTTACATTTAACGTAATTTTTGATAGATATGTACTTATTGCCATTTTAATTGTTTTCATACTAGATTTATAAGTAGTTGGTCTATTTATGTTGCCTTTACTAGTGAGAACTTTTTCTCTTTCATATATTTTCTTATTTCTAGTTGTGGCCTTTTCTTCTCCACTTAAAGAATTCCCTTTAACATTTCTGGTAATGTTCGTTTAGTGGTGGTGAACCACTTTAGCTTTTGCTTGTCTCAGAAAATCTTGATCTCTCCTGCAGTTCTGAATAATACCCTTGCTGGGTAGAGTGTTCCTGGCTGCGGCTACTTCCCCTTCCGTCATGTTGTGTGTGTTGTGCCCCTCCTTCCTGGCCTGCAAAGGCTCTGCTGAAAAGTCAGCTGACAGTCTCATGGGCATTCCCTTGTGTGAAACTAGTTGTCTTTCTCTTTCTGCTTTCAAGATTCTCTTTGTATTTTGAACAGTTTAATTAAAATCTGTCTTGGCGTGGGTCTCTTTGGGTTCATCTTGTTTGGGACTCTGTGCTTCCTGGACTTGGATGTCTGTTTCCTTGGCCAGATTAGGGAAGTTTTCACCCATTATGTCTTCAGATAGGTTTCCCATCCCTTTCTCTCTCTTCTCCTTCTGGGACCCCTGCGATTCAAATGTTAGTACCCTTGATGTTGTCCTAAGCATTGCTTATGCTACCTTTATCCTTCTCCGTTCTTTTTTATTTTTGATCTTCCAGTTGGGTGATTTTCACTGTCCTGTCTTCTTGATCGCTGCCCATTCTTCTGAGTCTTCTGGTCTGCTGTTGATTCCCTCCAGTGTGTTTCTCACTTGAGTTGTTGTATTCTTCAGTTCTGATAGGTCTTTTTTGTCATTTTTATGTCTTTGTTGAAGTTCTCACTGAGTTTATCCACTTGTCTGTAGGGTTTGGTGAGCATCTTTATTACTTTGAACTCTATCTAGTGACAGCTTAGCTCAGTTTCATTTAGTTCTTTTTCCACAGTTTTATCCTGTTGTTTGTTTGTTTGTTTGTTTGTTTGTTTGGAACATGCTCTTCTTTTAAAGACTTTATTTTTAGAGAGAGGGGAAAGGAAAGAGAGAGAGGGGAAGACAAACATCAATGGTTGCCTTACCTGGGGACCAGGCTGCACCCAGGCATGTGCCTTGGCCAGGAATTAAACCAGCGACCTTCTGCTTTGCATTATGACCCTGACCAACTCAGCCACATAGGTCACAGCTAGAACATAATCTCCTCTCTCCTTATTTTGTCTGTTGTTTCTATGTATTAGGTAGGTGAGCTAAATCTCTTGGTGTTAAAAAATGGCATTATTTAGGTGTCCTTTGGGGTCCATTGATGGAATCCTTCTTGTCACCAGAGCCAGGTACTCTGGAGGTATTATTCCCTAGGTGGACTAGTGTGGCCTCCTGTTGTGGCAGGGCGACAACTTCAGTGGACACACTGGCAGGTGAGGCTGGTCCCTGGCCCGCTGGCTGTGGGGGCCTGGCCACTGCTGTTGCAGGCTCACTGGTGAACAGGACAAGCCTACAGTGTGGTTGGCTACACAGCCCAGCTACACTGTTGCAGACACTCTGCTGTGTGCTGGTGCCGACTGAGGCCACCCACTGGGTGTGGCGGAGCAAGAGCATATTTGGAGGGGTGCTAGCCTCGGTGGGTCTCAGGGATATGCCGGGATGGGGTGAGCAGTGTTAGCAAGATTAACAGAGAGTGTCAGATACCATGCCTGCCAGTGTCAGACCAGCTACGTTAAAGAAAGGGGGGAAATGACACCCACCAGCACCTCTGACTCAGGAGAGAATTCCAACAGATTCCCGTTCCTGCGGCACACACCCTAAAATCAGTCAGTGCGTCACCCTCACATATGACTTAGGTGCTTTTCAAACTGCTGCCTCTGTGCCAGGGCTCAGAGCACGGCTTGGGTCTCCTTCAGCCGTTTGGCTCTCCCAGACATAAGCCCCACTGGTTTTCAAAGCCACATGTTATGGCTGCTCCTCTTCCTGGGGCAGGCCCCCCAGGCGAGGGCTTGGCCCCCTCGCTCTTCGACAATGACCTCCACAGCCGTGACATCCCTCCCACTTGTGAGTCACCGCGTAGGGAATGGGGGAGAGGGTGGGTGTTGACCAGACTTTCAGTGTGGCTTTGTCTGCATATCCGCAGTTGCAGGACATCTGTCCTGCTGGTCTTCGGTCCTCCTCCGAGACAGCTGCTCTGTGCGCAGTTGTAGTTCAGGTGTCGGTGAGAGGAGGTGAGCGCAGGATATTTCTGCTTTGCCGCCTTGAACTCAAAACCAGGAGGCTTGTTCTTGACTGCCAGTTTAGCTTGTCCGTGAAGTGTCATTCCTTGTGGTTGGTGCACGACCCCCGCAACAGACACGTCTCCGGATGGGATCACTGAGTTGGGACGCGTCTCTCACAGCGCCCTTTGAACCCGGTCACACGTCGCTGCCTGTGGCCTCACATTTCCCGTTAGTCCCATCGAGTCGGTACACGGGCGCTCCCTAGACTTTCACTGCATCTTTCTTTGATGATCTTTTCTTCTTATCACAGAGCAGCAACCAACTGCGGGCATAGGTGGGGAAGTTTACGGTTTCTTTACTGAGAAATGGCTGTCATCTGTCTGACTTCGTGATTAGGAAGGGTACCTTGGGGCTCTTAGAATTTTCCAAATGTTCATTAAAATCTCCCTGTTTCTCTTACTTTACAGCATGTATGTCCGTTACGTTTATGGCTTATTGAGAGGGTTTATTTGAATATTTCTGCACATTCTGGTTGTTCAGTCTTATAATCTCTAAATAAGTGCCTTTAAAATCTATTTTAAAACATCTTATGTCTTTATTTTAGCAAAGCTCCCTTTTCTCACAGGACCGTTAGGCAAAGAAAGAATTCATTTCTGCTCTCTACCAGTTCCCAGCATACATGGACATACTCGTGGGTTAAGCAGCTTTAGTGGCCTGATTGGACCTCTGAAATATGACAGAATCATGATCGGCGTTACTGCAGTTCTATGGAGCCTGCGGTCTGGGCCAGAAACTAGCTATAGTAACAGTTTTAGTAACGGCAGTCAACATCTACTGACCATTATGTACCAGACGCTTTTATATGTATTGTCTCATTTCATCTCCATGACTCCGAGGTAGACACCGTTAAGATCCCAGTTTTACACATGAATTTTAACAGGTGAATTTCCCTACCCCAAATCACCCAGTGACTGCCTGCTATAAACAGCACATTCTTTTTTCCACCTCTCAGGCATTTATATTCCGGAGGATGACAGAGACGCCCCGGAGAAGTTCCGAGGTCTTGGTGTACGGATCGAGGACGATGTAGTGGTGACTCAGGGCTCACCTCTCGTCCTTTCTGCCGATTGTCCCAAAGAGATCAGTGACATCGAACACATCTGCAGCAGGGCCTCTTGACCCTCGTTGCGGCCCACGTGCGTCTCAGGTTCAAGGGCTGTGCACTGGCGCCTGTGCACATGAGCTTTCTGAGCGTTGTCTGTGTGTGCACCTCCGTGTGCGAGTTTCATGTGGGAGTGTGGGGACTGGATGACTGTATGTAGTTGTGTGTGTGGTCTTTTTTTGTTTTGAATAGCTAGAAATCAGGAAAGTTGAATTTTTGGACTGTATGTTACTGCAACTTTAGAAAAACATTAATTCAGTAGAATTAAGGACCCAGGCAAGTTTAATTTTTAAATATAAAGATAGTTCTCGGTTATATCTGTTCATGCATTCCAGTTAACGCATTTAAAGACACAGAAAATTTCTCCTCTCCGGGTCTTTTCCTTTCAGAGCTTTTGCTAAGATCCACCTAACAGCGTTAAGATACGTGTGTGACGCATGTGTTTGGAGCATATCACCAAGGCCCGCACTAGAAGCCACGCATCGGTGATTGCGTGTGGCGAATACATGCCTTTCACACAGGTGCCAGCCTGTTCCAGAGCCTGCACACCTCCTGGAGCCGCGTGGGCCCTCCTGGCACTGGTGTCCTGCGGTCCCACCGCATAGCCACCGTCCAGGTTCCAGCAACACTAGCTATCAAACGAAACGGCTTTGAGCCTTCTCACTCTTTGGTTGTCTGGGGCCTGGAAAGTGTTTAGATTCTCAAAAAGGAAGGAATGAAAGAGAAAAAAAGGTATATGGGTGTCTGCTACAGATCCAACCCTCCGTCTGTTCTCAGTCTACAGAAGACTCCTTTCCCAGACACCCACGCTCCCTTTCTACATTCTGAACGCACCGCCTCATAGCACACCCTGGAAGCTGCTCCTCTGGCCAAGGGCAGGCCCTCTACTTACCTAAAGTGAGAGGAATGGCGCCTAGTTTCCAGGGAGATGCCCCTGTTAGCATTCTGTGATGTCCTCTAGTGCTAACAAAAACAAAATATGAAACCCACCAAGTGCCTATAAACAGCCTGAGATCCTCTTTCTCTGCTGACAGCACAGGAAGAAATCTCTCTCTCAGCACACCATTGGACACAATTACACAAGAACTCAGTTTGCAAAGTGAACAGGGCTAGATTTTTGCAGATGGTTTATTTGGGAGCTTCTGTCAAAAAGAGAAGCTTTGAAAACTAGTGTGTCGTCGTGTTTTAAAACTGGATACGAACCTAAGATACATAAAACATGCTGATTACTAGAGCATCAATCTGAGGGTTTTTACGACAACTCATTTTTGCTGAGCACCAGCTAGGGGATTAACACTCACTGCAGCGTTACAGGCTTGCCCACCTTACCCGGAAAACCCAGGGTACGGAGCCCAAAGCGGACAGGCAGGGACTTCATCAGGAGACATAATACAATGAACCAAAGTGATACAAATCGTGTCCTCACAGCGTTTGCCCACAATGCCTGGCTTTGCTAACCTGATCTAAGCAGCTGTGGGGATGGATGGCTGCACAGCTGGAGTCATCCTCTCTGTGCCTGCCTTCCCTCCAGCTTCTCAGTCCCGTGCTGCCTTCCAAAAGTGTGGGACTGAAAATAAATGCACAACTCGGGCTTCTCACCCGTGGGCCCCTGTGGCCCTAACGGCCCTTAGATTGGGTTTCCTTTGTTCATTCACAGTCCTGGAATAAGGAATTTCCCTTCTCCCTAAAAATTTTCGGTGGTCGTCAGTGTTTCGGCTAAACGTTTAGGCAGGTTTTTTTGTATAGCAGCATAAAACAGATTCCTGAAACAGACTCCTTCCAGTTAGATTCCAGTCGAGTTGTACAGGCGTTGCAAGTACTAGTTCGAAAGGCTTCTGTGGAGCTTTGGGCTGATTTGTATTCCCTGACCCAGGTACATTGCCCTTGGAGCCCCAGATGGACCGTTGCCACTAAGCATTGGAGTCAGACTGTCAGAACCATCACAAGATGACCTAGTGCGCATCTCAGAGTGGTGCTGGGGGCTGTGCGTTAGATCCAGGCGCGTGAGCGGCCGGCCGTGCACAGTGCGGGCATCTCATCCATTCTTCGCTGCACCGCGGGCGTGCCCCACATTTCCCCCCGTGTCTCAGCGTGATGAGTGCTTCATGCACATATCAGGCTCTCCCAGAACAAAAACCGTACTTTTCAGAAGCCTTTCAGATGTTCCACTGGAAGTTTTCTCCTTGAATTGAGTCGATGAGCTTGAACCATTAACAGTGCCATCTAAGTGGAGGAAGCGTTACATCTAGATAGCCGCCGCCACATACTTTTCTATGTTTATTTCAGGAACTGCTGTTCCCCTCCGCCCCCCATAATCAGGAAACGGACTGGACAGTAAAAACTCTCCTCTTCCCACAGCCCTAGAATCCACGTTAGGAAGCTACTGCTAGTGGTGGTGTCAGGGTGTCTGTGTGGGTTTTAAGTCTGGGCAGATACACTTCGAGCTGCCGTGTTCGATGCTCCTAGTAGAATGAGAAGATGAACACATGAAGAAGCCCTAACGCTGGGGCAGAATTCCATGGTCACAAAGCACGTGGGTCCTCCGGGCCGCTCTTCTGACCTCAGCCCCTGTGTCACGGGAGCTTGGGGTGAGCATCAGTGTTATTTGGGTCGGGGGTCCCCATGAAAACAAGGCATCTTGGGGTGTGTTCATGAAGATCTAAGAGAACTAGTTTTCTTAGCATTTCTTAATGCTTTGTATGACTTTCGTGCAATTATATAAATTTGGACAAAATGCTGTTACTTTTAAGGCCCTTTCCACTGAATATAGTTGTCATTCCCCAATAAGGGAAAAACATTTGTTATTGTCATTTTAAAAATAAATTACAAAACAATAAAAGTGTAACCCATGTGTGTGTTATTTTCAAATCTAGAATCTACAGCTTTAAGAACATTTTGATTTACAGTTTTTTTAACCCTCACCCTTGTATATACATTGCTTTTAGAGAGAGGGAGACATCGATCAGTTGCCTCCCATATGCACCCTAACTCGGGGTCAGACCCACAACCTACGTATGTGCCCTGGCTGGGAATTGAACTCACAATCTCTTGGTGTACAGGACAACACTCCAACCAACTGAGCCACTGGGCAGGGCTGATTTACAAAAACATTTTATTTTACAGAGTGTCCATTCATTGCTGTCACAAAATCATGGTAGCAAACTCGACATGTCTTACTAGTCACAGACGGGGGAGAAAACAATGGGTTAGATGCAGCCCATCCAAAGATTGACTCAAGGATCCAGTGTATAACACGGTGCCTGGGCTCGGTAACACTGTATCGTATAAATGGAATTTGTGAGTAAGAGTAGAGCTTAAAATGTTCTCACACAAAAACGAAACAAATATGTGAGTTGATCAGGGCATTAATTAACTAGATGAGGAGCATCCTTTCACAATATCTTAAACATTTTGTCAATTATGCTGCAAGAAAGCTAGGGGCAAAAATGGTTTACTCTCCACAAAACTAACCCATGGGTCTTCAGGCAGCCCCTATAGAACTTGAATCTAAACTAGAGCATTTTATAAAGGTTGGTTTTTGTGGGGAAGTAGGGTCAATTTGCAAAATTGTGAATATGTGAACTTTTGGTTCCGGCTTTCGGCTCGGAGGAGGCGAAGCTGCAGCTCTGGCCGACCCAAATCCGGGTTCACTCGACACCAGCCACCTCCACCGTGCTGTCGAAGTTCAACCCCGAAAAGATCAGTCGTACACCTGAAATGCAATAGTGGGGAAGTCAGTGCCACATCTGCCCTGGCCCCCAAGCTCGAAGAGGCTGGTGATGACATTGCCCAAGTGACTGGTGAATGGAAGGGCCTGAGGATTACCGTGAAACTGACTATTCAGCAGAGACAGGCCCAGACTGAGGTAGTGCCTTCTGCCTCTGCCCTGATCATCAAAGCACTGGAACCACCAAAAAACAAAGAAGCAAAAACACACTAAGCGCAATGGAAATACCACTTTTGACCAGATTGTCAAGGTTGCCTGACAGATGCAACTGATCGGCTGGAGAACTCTGGAACTGTTGAAGAGATCCTGGTGACTGCCCAGTCTGCAGGCTGTGATGTTGATGACTGCCACCCTCCGGACATCACAGATGACAACAGTAGTGTAGCAGAATGCAGGGTAGTTACCTACAAAAGAATATTTCAATTAACCATTTGACAATCAAAAATAAACATGTGCACTTTCTCAGTGAGCCATATCAAGGATTCTATGTGACGCTGGCTGGTGTGGCTCAGTGGATTAAGCACCAGACTGCAATCCAAAGCACCACTGGTTCGATTCCCAGTCAGGCCACATGTCTGGGTTGCGGGCCAGGTCCCCAGGATGGGCAACCACACATTGATGTTTCTCTCTCTCTCTCCCTTCCCATCTCTCTAAAAATCTTTTTTTTTTTTTTTAAGAATCCTATGTGTAGCTTTCTCTCCCTATTAGGAATCCTATTTAAAATCGGAGGCATTCTGTAAGGCAGGCTTTCCAACATTTTTCACTCCTGGCACATAAAAAGATATTTTTTGTACAGCACAACACTTGGGATTTAGGAATATGTACATGTGATTTGGATTAAAAATTCATTACATATCTACATAAGAAAATTCAAAGTAAATGTTTTGTTGAAAAATTTTAATTCATGAAATACTTCTAAAAATAATTTTTTAAATATCAATAAGCGATATAGCTTACTTTTGGGAACGTGACCTTTTATGGTTCAAGTACAGTTGTCTCCACTTTGCCACCACTTTCCCTGGCCCCACCCACCCCCACCTCCCACCCTCAACCCTTCCCCTCTGTGGCTTTGTACGTGGGTCCTTTGTACATGTTCCTTGACGGCCCTTTCATGACTTTTTTGATAACAGGCTAAAATGCCTACACATCATTCCTGATGCAGGCTTTTTAGTAATAATGTCTTCATCATAAAAACCATCAACAATAAACTTGCACAAAAAAAGCTGAAAAAAAGCTGAAAATTTTTATTATTCAAAAATTTCCCGCCCTGGTTGGTGTAGCTCAGTGGATTGAGTGCAGGCTGCGAACCAAAGCATCACAGGTTCGATTCCCAGCCAGGGCACATGCCTGGGTTGCAGGCCACAGCCCCCAGCAACCGCACATTGATGTTTCTCTCTCTCTTTCTCCCTCCCTTCCCTCTCTAAAAATAAATAAAATAAATCTTAAAAAAAAATTTCCCCTGCCTGATGTTGCTCAGTGGATTGAGCACTGGCCTGTGAACCAAAAGGTTGCTGGTTTGATTCCTGGTCAGGGCACCTGTCTGGGTTGTGGGCCAGGTCCCCAGTTGGGGGTGTACAAGAGGCAACCGTTTCTTTCATATCAGTGTTTCTCTTCCTATCTTTCTCCCTCCTTTCCCATCTCTCTAAAAATAAATAAAATCTTCTTTAAAAATGTTATCATTGAACTCATGAATGGATAAAACAAGTGACCTATCCATACAATGAAATGTTATGCAGCCATAAAAAGGAATGAAATACTTACACATGCTACAACATAAAGAAACTTAAAAAATATTATGCCTAGTGAAAGAAGCCAGACAGAAGAGGCACATATTATATAACTCTAATTTTTGTATGATTCCATTTATGTAAAATATCCAGAACAGGTAAACTTGTGGAGACAGAAAGTAGATTAGTGGCTGTCAGGGGCTCAGAATAGGGGGAAATGGAGAGAGAATGCTAACAGGTACAAAGTTTCTTTTTTAGGTGGTGGAAATGGTCTGGAATTAGTGGTGGTAGCTCCCCAACTCTGTGACTATACTAAAAACCATTGAATTGTATACTATTAAGGGAATTTTATGGTATCTGAATTAAATCTTAATTTACCATTGATATTTAAAAGGCATCTAGTAACTTTCTTTTATTTCTAAAGATTTTATTTACTCTCTAGAGAGAAGGGAATGGAGGGAGAAAGAGGGAGAGAAACATCAATGTGTGAGAGACCCATCAACTGGTTGCCTCTCACATGCCCCCAGCAGGGGAACCAGGGCCCCAACCCAGGCATGTGCCCTGACTCAGAATCAAACCAGTGACCTTTTAGTTTTCAGGCTGGCACTCAATCCACTGAGCCACACCAGCCAGGGCTAGTAATTGACTTTCAGTGACAAAATGTAATGTGAAATTTCTTATAATACGGATTTCCAATCAAATTAAGATCATATCAAATGTTTCAAGATAATGAAGTTATAATTTGTAGAGTGTACATTATTTTTTTAATCCTCACGCAAGGATATGTTTACTGATTTTTTTAGAGAGAGACATTGATTGGTTGCCTCCCATACACACCCTGACCGAGGACAGGACCTGCAAACTTTTGATGCGTGGGGTGGCACTCCAACCAACCGAGCCATGCAGCCAGGGCCGTGCATGTATTTTTAGAATAGTCACCCTGCCTATAGCTCTGACCACAAAGGTCAGAAGTACCCGGTGTATGTGAAGCAGAAAGCAGGGCTATCTGGAGCTACACCTGCAGAGTCCGGTCTGCAGGCCCATGACACCCATGGCCAGCATGACCTCAGGAACCTGAAACAGCATCTGCTCCAGTAACTCCATGGCTTCCTTGTCTTTGATGAGCAAAGGTGCACTCAACAGCTGCTGCTGAAGTGGATGGCCAGGTGATAGAGCTCCTCCTCGGCCATATTTAAGTGAGTCCAGGGTTCCTGGTCCTAAGGTGACAGGTAAGGGGGCTCTGGCTGCTCCAAGTTCCATCCATCTGGCCACCCTGAGGACAGAGGGGATCAGTGTCTCCCACATGCCAATGTCAAGGCACATCACTTAGGGCACAGGTGGCCTAATCCAAGGGCCGAATCCGGCCCTCCACCTTGTTTTATCTGGCCAGGCACCTTGTTTCTACCTGGCGGCAGCGCTGAGCTCTCGCTTAACTGTCAATGAATAGTTACATTTATACAGTCCTAAAATTACATTCGGCCCTTTGAAGGCAACTGTGAGGCTGATATGGCCCCCAGTGAAAATGAGTTTGACACCCCTGACTTAGGGTATTTAAAGTCATAAAATCTAGAATTATGTTGAGTAGGGCTTACCTGGCACATAAAAATGTGCAGTACTGTGTAGACACTGATCCAGATTTCTACCAGTTTTTAAAGCCCAGTGGTTCTGGCTAGTTGCCACTGAATACAGTCTTTCTTTTCCTAGAAAAAAAGTTGGGATTGGGAAGCCTACAATGTATGCCCAAAAATGTTGGGTTATGTTTCTCTGCATATTGTATAGATTAAAATCTGCAATACTCTATAGCCAATCCCTGCACTGATTTTAATCTGGGCAGTGACCAATACATTATACGTAAACAATTCTTTACCAAAGGGATCACTGTATATAATAAATTGTACTTGACATTGCATAAAGTAGGTACATCAGGTGCAGAGTCCACCTGCGAAAGCCTGAGTCTACCTTGACAAAAATTTTTATTAGAAGAGTATGGTGTCTCCTCAACAAAGTAAACAATTACCACTTGACTCAGCAATTCTACTTCGGAGCACACACTCAAGAGAATGGAAAACAGCAGTGTCCGCAATAGCCGAGAGATGGAGACAGCCCGAACGCCTATCGGCGCATGAATGGGTGAGCCACGTGTACAAATCCATGCAGTGGGATATTATCCAACTTTAGGAAGAGATGAAATTCTTCTGCTACAACGTGGATGAACCTTTAAGGCATTATTATACTACGTGAAATAAACGAGATAAAAAAAGAACCAACCAGTGCGATTGCACTTTTACAAAGTGCTTAGAGTCATCAAAACATGAGATGGAAAGTAGAAGGGTGGTTGCTGGGGCTGAGGGGAGCGGGGATGGGGAGTTAGCATCTAATGGGGACAGAGTT